CGCTCCCGCTTTCTGTTGCAAATTTTTCTGCATCCTGTGTACGCTTTATAAAACAATCGTTAGCATAACGATCGAGTTATTTTACACAGAAACGACTCGATGATATTCTGATCCCAGGGTTTCAACCTCGTTCCGATTCTACACTCATCCAGGAATGTTGTCTCTTCTCTTTACATCGTAACTCTTTTGTAAACTCTGCGGTTGCGTTAGAGTCACCAGACGCTTAAAGCTTTACCAGTTCCTATGCTACGTTGTGGGTTGTATATACCGTTACCATGAATGCCATCCCCACCTTTCCACCCTTTACTTAACGATCAACCCTATTTTCTCTTTTTTACTTCCCATTTTCCTACACCACCACTTCCTACCCCACCCCTTCATATTTTTTTGCTTTTGTTTTATACGTGTTTCTTTTATCTTTTTCTTCTTCTTCTTCTTCTACTTCTTCATTTTCGTTTTCTTTTTCTTCTTTTTTGGCCTCGCCATAATTCTCTCTTTATTCAAGCACAAATTTCTTTCATATCGAGATTGAATTTATCAACGATGAAAAAAAAGAAGAAAAAAACAGAAACAAAATTTGGGTCAAAAAACAATTTCAATGTTTCGCTAATGAAAAATGATCGATTGAAAAATTGACCGAGGAAATTGGATGTATGTTTTTGTGTTTTGTTTTGTTTTATTTTATCGAATATTTGCACCCCCATACGTTGTTATATTTTTGAAAAATAAAGAAACAACGTTTTATTCCGACGTTAGGGGTTGCATGCATCTAATAAAATATTATTCGTCGCTATAAAAACGGATTTTAATATGTCAGCCGTGTCAATATTTCTTTATATTTTTAGGAAAATGTTTATTAACGAATATCACCCAGCAAATAATATATATATATCACTAGTTTTGATTATTTCTCCTATAATTTTATATTTATGCCAACAAACCTTTTTGTTTTCGGTTAATATAAATGCAAGAAATGATTATTACTTCGTTTTTTTCTTTCGCCATGAAACCAATTAATAATTGGTAATCTCGTTGTAGTAATACAAGGAAAAGAAAAGGAAAAAGAGTAAAAAGAAATAAAAGATAAAGTACATAAAAGCAAACGTTTCAATATAATTTGAAACGTATATTCGAAACGGAAACCAATACGAATGTATCAGGTGATTTGTTCGAAATGTAATTTTTGTTTCATGTACAAAGACCTTCGATACCAATCTTATTCCGAACTTTTAGATTATTTAAAATGTTCTAGCAACAAATATTTCAGAAGTGATTTGAAATTTTTATTTGGTGCATATTTCGATTTATCAAATAATAGTTCTTTTCGTATATGTATTTTGTCATATTTTACATTATCGTAACGAATATTAATACAGTAGCAGGTAAAATAAAATGATGTACTATTTTATGTAAAGAATATGTTTAGTAAACGTTAACATGAACATTATTTGTTTTTATATTTTTATTTGAAAAATGCAAAACCCCCACGTTTGAATAATTCAATTTTTAAAACTAAATGCACTTTGATATATACTTAATCGTTGCAGTAACAACGCGAGAAATATCTGAAAAAATAGAATATTTATTCTTCAATTTATGTTTCAATTCAAAATCTCTATGAATTCTAAATACAAAAAGAAAAAACAAGAAAGAGAATAATCTTTATATTTACCAATCGAAACAAATTCAAATTACTTTTCGTATACAACATATTGTGTTTTCAAATAAAAATGATTTGATCAATATATTTGTAAAAAAAACTATTACCCAGATACGAAAATAATAACGAGTTTCGAGTACAAGATAGATGTTTTATATTTTATACATTGATGCGAGTGTTTATGTATTATAAAAACTCGTCTTTTGGGAATAAAGATTCTTCTCGAGTAAAGGTTTAAAATAGAATATACATACATATATATATAGAAAATGCGCGTTTACATCTTCGATATTCTCGATATTAATTTCAAAGCTACGGGCAGCAACAGCAGCATCGTATAAGAGAGCAGAGAAAATAAATCGGCTTTCAGAAGCAGAAGAACCGTACACAAAACCGTCGATAACAGGGTCCACCGTTAAAGGTAATACTTGCGTTTATAACAAAGGAATCTTCCTAAATGTATTCAATATTCTAAAGTAATGGCAGCATTCACTCGTGTATTGATTTCTTTTCTTGTTTTCTCTTACGTTTATCTTTTTTATTTTTTGTTCATTCCTTTCCACTCCCACCCCCACCCACCCTCTTATACTGGAAACAAACGTTATCACGCAATATAAATATCGTTGCAGTGAGAAAGCTGGTCTTTTTTTTTTATAAAGAAATAAAAGAAAATTGAAGGGACACACACACCCAAGATGGAACAATGATTGTGCTGTTTACGTTGTGGAAAATTGAAAACATGACTTGACCCGATCGGTTTGCCGATCATAAGTAAAGTATATGTTTGATTACCACCCCTCACCCCACTCGAACACGTATATTTTATTTCTTCTTATTTTTTGTTTTTGATCACGATTCAATACAATCGTCCGATCCGTGTTAATCTTCTATATTGTTTAAACCATTTATTCTAAAAAAAAAAAAAAAAAAAAAAAAAAGATAAGAATCAATCGTTAACTTTAAATTTTAATTCGATCATTTTTTTTCTTTTTTATTTTCAATCTCGTCCAAACGTCGAAATAATTTATTTTTTCCCCGTAAATCAGATCTCACGTAGGCAGACATTTATTTCTATTTTAATTAGAAAGAATAATATTCAATATAAATTACGATTTATTTAAAAGTTTGTCACAGTAAAAGAAACGTAGAAATTATTTATCGAAAAGTTCGAAAGACGAATAGAGAAAAAGTGGTAAGTTGTGTAGGGTGTGGGTAAGGGATAAAAAGGAAGGTAGAAAGAAAAAAAAAAAAAAAGGAAGAATATCGCAGAGAAATCGGTTAGAATTTCTTGAGAGAAATTATACCGTTCAATTTTCAAGGTAAAGTCGTTAATTAGCGTTCTCCCGATAAATTTCCTCTTCCTCTTCCTCCTCCTACCTGCTACTTCTACCTGCACGTAGAAAGTGTACGTATCATGACACGCGGTCAATTTGCATAGATATAATTTACATAGGTGTATGCGTTTGATAACGAGATCCTTGGATTATCGTAAATAACATCAAAGGAAAATTTTAGAAGACTATGGAAAATTTTTAACTAACGACGTTTCGTACAATATTTTTTCCCCTTTGAAAAAATAAAAAAAAAAAAATAATAAGTCGTTTATAAAATATCGTTTCGTTATTCTTATTTAATCTAACAATAAGTTACTATAATAATTAATTATTAACGGTGAAAACACATATAATAATAAAATATCGACGAATTTTAATTTCTCAATAAAAAAAAAGAAACGATCAAAATATTTAAATATCAGACAAACTTATTTCGCGATTTCGAACGTGGCATCGAAGAGAATCAGTGCGCTTTTGGTTTGAATCCAAACATTTGGAAACGTTTGAATTTCTCCGAAAAGATAGCAATTCGATAGGGTCGTATTTGGGAGAGAATGCTTTGTTGAAAGGCCGAAATCGAAAATGAATTCAATCCTCGAATGCACGGTTTACGGTTCAGACGAACGATAAATCTTGAAAGGATGGATAGCCACCATTTGCTACCCACGATCTCATTCTCTCTTTCTCTATATATATATATGCGTATGTGTGTGTGTGTCGAATGTACCGATCTTCTTCAATCGTAAAAAAAGATCGATAGCTTTTTATTTCGGACCTTCCGTAGAAAATAATTTATTGTTAGCGGTCGCACACATACGATAGTATCGATTTATACTAGTGTGAATCCCATATATATATATATATATATTATTATATATTATTATATATATATATATATATATATTAGTTATCCCATTATTATTATATATATATAACTAATCCCATGATAGTTCGGGTTTGCACACGCAAATTCTGACTTCTCGCATAGAACGTGTCAGTTAATCCTAACGACTGGATCGAATCGATAACAGGGGCTCGTTAGTACCTAAGCTCCCACATTTCGATTATAGGCTATCTAATGTACCTTGTTAACGTTGTTACCCTAGTAATTCTACATTCCGATCGCGAAATCGCATGCACCGATACCTAACTGTGAAGACACAGCTTCCCCTCGCCCACTTCCCTCCTTCTTCCCTGTACAGACGAATATTCGTTCTTATTTAATAACGACAATGACAATGTTCCATTATATTGTAATATTCAAAAGTATTTTAAACTTAAGTTTGATTATACATCGTCATAGATTCGTTTGTGAAATATTTGACTCGCCGATTAGGTGCATGCGTGCGTGCGTGCTTGTGTGTATGCGTTAGTACGTACTTTTCGGATTTCACAGTTCGCATATTAAAAATTGATACCGATTGCGTACATCTATTAATATCTTCTTCCTATTTTCTTCAATTTCATTTGATTTTTTTTTATTTTGTTTTGTTTTAAATCTCTGACAAAAGTCCTAAAATTTCTCCAACAGAAACTCTATTACCGACTAATCAAGACTATCAATAACCTTTGACAAAAGTCCCAAAATTTCTCCCATAGAAACTCTACTATCGACTAACTAACGTTATCAATCACCCCCTACGTAATTTTCGATTTAATTAATAATGTATATATAAAATTTGAAAAGTTCAAACTCGATCCTTTGATCCTAACCAGTAAAGCAGGGGTAACACGACATGCAATTTTACGCTGTGACACGTGATTCGGCCACGCCCATCGGTACAAACACACACACACACACACAAATACAACAAACACTCTATCGATCGTACCCTTTGCTCGATCACCGTAAGTAACCTTACGAATGAAAAAGGAACACGAAACAAAATATATCGAATTCATTATTATCAATAATATATAGACCAATCATTCGGTGGAAGAAAAACAAAAGAAGAAAAAAAGAAAATGTGATTCTCTTAACGAAGGACAAAAAGAAAATAACTTACCGGAGTGAATTCCTCTGTGGGAAGGTGCCGCTGGTGCGGGGGGAAGTCCGGCAATGCTATAAAGCGTTTGCCCGCTGCCATATTTGTGAGCGGTGCAATGGCAGGGAGTAGTGGGGGTAGGCAAAGAACCAATGGGGATTCCCCCGGCGGCGACAGGAACGACGGCACTGCTTCCGACGACGGAAATTTCGTCGAGTTCGTGGCCGCTGTCGTAGTGACATAATCTTGTTGCACTGGTGCTTGACCCAGCTGAACCGACGACGTTAACGTCGCCGATGAATCCATCCGAACGTGTACTTCCTCCACCCCCGCCAACGGTTCTACCACCGCCACCTGTTCGGCCCCTAAGCGACTGCACCAGTCGCTTGGCGCCCGAAGACATTCCACGCAGGTGATCCAGCTTTCTTTCTCTTCTCTTTCCTTAATATCACCGAGACCAACTATAAGGTACCCGAAATAATCGATTAGGTACCCTAATAAAATAATCCTATTCTTTTTCCTATCCAGAATGGCTGCCGGCCGATGACACTTTTCCAACCAACCAACCCCCACCCACCGATGTCACCGACCGTATTCTCTTCTTGTTACGTTTCTTCCGGTCATCCTCCTCTCCTCCTTCCCCTCCCCACGCGCCCCTCTTTTACACCTCCCCCTCACTCACTCACACTCTCACAACCTTTGTCCCTCGTAAACTCTCTCTCTCTCTCTCTCTCTCCCTCTCTCCTTTTCGATTATATTTTTTTCATTCAACGATTCCAACTTTCGTCGAGCTATCGATCAATCTAACTTCCCGATTATCCGAGGTATCTATCTATCTCTCTTCTCTTCTCTTCTCTTCTTTTTTATTTTTTATTTATTCATTCGAAGATCGAAGATCCGATATATGATCGTAAATGAAAAGGGGGAATAATAATAATAATAGGAGGATTTTCACGAAACAAACTCGACGACGGAAGGACGGATTTGAGTGATCGATCGGCATCTCTCTTTCTTCCTTTCTTTCTTTCTTTCTTTCCTTTTTTTCTTTATCTATCGACCCTTACGGTGACTGATATATATATATATATTTTTTTCTTTAATCCCCATAGCCCTTGACAAACCATTCTATTTTTTTCTTCCTCTTCCTCCTTCTTGTTCTTCTTGTTTTTCTTATTGTTCTTCTTCTTAGGAATTGAGTAACGTGCAACAAGTGTCTTCGCGCGCCTACCCCTGATGTTGTTCCTTCGACGAAACGCAAACGATTTTCCTTTTCGTACTACGACGAGGACCTACGACGACGACGACGATGACGATGACGACGACGACGACGACGGGGTGGAGATCCTCTTCTTCTTGTCTAAAATAGAAAGAAAAAGAAAAAAAAAAAAAGAAAAAGAAAAAAGAAATGGATTAACGTCTCAACTCGTTAAACTCGATAAACTCAACTTAATCCCGGAAATCTGGCAAATCTGATTAATTATTTATCAAACAAACGTCTAGTAACGTCAACAATTGGAGGGTGGGGGGTGGGGGTGGGGCTGGGGGTGGAACAACTTTTACGTAAGTCAAACTTTTAGAAAGAAAAGAAAATACGTGTTTGAAAAAAAACACGAATTTCTTTCGTATTAACGTTAACGTTTTAAGCGTGTGCATGAAATTGTGCATATTACTGGACCAATAGAAAATGTCAGGGAAAAAGAGGATTTTTTTTTTGTAAAACGCAAATAAGTCAAGCGTGTAAATCAACGAGTAGTATCGATGAGCATTTTTTTCTTGTCTCTCTCTCTCTCTCGTGGCACGGTTCGAGCTTCGATTGTTATTGCATCTCTCTCTCTCTCTCTTCCTCTTTCTCTTTCTCTTCATTCCTCCCTTTCTTGACACGACAAACGCGTCACTCAGCGAAACTGTGTGTATGGCCGGTCATTTACAATTGTTCTGGACACTTTTTCTATTCAACTTTGATACCTACTGACTTACTTCATTTTTTTTTCATTTTTTCTTCTTTTTTTTTTTTCAACTTCTCAAACGTTCTTCATTTGATCAACGGCTTAAAAAACTATCTTGTATAAAAAAAATATATATATTAGTTCTACTTGAAGAGAATTAAAGAAAATGTGACTAATGTAAGAGTAATTCGATTCAATTCAATTTCTTTTAACCGGTGTCTTTGATTGGGGATTGAAAACAAACAAAATAAATATCCAAATAATTGTTCATTTGTGTAACAAAATCGATAGGAATCATTGATAATAAATAGAACATAAAAATTCTATCTGGGAGATTTTCTTTTTTCATCAATCTTTTTTATTTTTCCCATTATACAAAATTATGTAATTTTTGATAAATTAACATAACGTTTAACTAATTTAACAAATTATTTCTTCTTTGCGTCACACGTATATATATATATATATATATCCTCTGTCTACTTATTTTTTATTTATTTTTAATAAAATAAAATAAAGATGACTGTGGCAGGTTTTAAAGTTCTTCGACTTTGTGAATAAAAATATTAAAAAATACCACCAACTGGTCTACCATCATCGCAACTATAATAAAATTTTACGTTATTCTCTTTTCTAAACTATGTACGAATTCAAGACCAGGAAGATGCGTCAAAGAGACACACGGTACGCGCAATATTTATGACCACCCATCCTCGTAAGTGCTTTTTGCACGTTTCTCAAAAGGAAAGAAGAAGATGAGGAAGATGAAGAAGATGAAGAAGAAAAAGAAGGAAAAAAAACAAAACAAAATAAAAAATAACCCCACTTCGTGAGATATCGTAATCACGGATACGTTGAATCATGTCGTCGAGAGATGACGAGGGGTGAGAAAGAGTGACATAGAGAGCGGGGGACGGGCGAGGTGGGGCGGGAGGGGGATTAAGGTTACAGAGAAAAGAAAAAGAGGATAACCATTTTTCAGAGAAACGTATTTCTCAAATCATAATAGAAAACGAAATGGAAGAAGAAGAAGAAGAAGAAAAAGAATAAGAATAAGAAGAAGATGGAAATATGCTTGTGCTTGGTCGGACGCAACGAAACGACCCACCCCCATCCCCCCAACCCCAGCTTTTATTATTACGATACCACATTTTTACTCAACTCTCATTTCTCGACGCACTTTTCACCCTTTTAAATTTCTTTCCCTGCTATTATAATATAATATTATATTGCGAGAAGGAAAGATGGTAGATGAAAGAGTAAGGTGGTAAGGGTTGAGGAGTAAGAGGGTGGGTAGGGAATTAAATAGCCTGTGGACTATTTTCTCAAACTTTTCTAGAACAAATTTCCGAACGGATGTGCCGTTCCTGCCCCAAACCCCTTACCGCCGAACGAATTAAATTGAATCAAATATCGAAACGAACGATCCGTTCAAATATCAAATGATTATGATTATCGATATAGTTATCACAAATTATATTTGCTTTCATAGAAATATATGATTCATAAGGAGAAAGAGAGAGAAAGAGAAGGAGAATTTCTCAAAAGTGATAGATAATATTTCAACGAGACTATTACTTCGAAATTATACGCGAAGTAAATAGATCGATCGACAGATCGATTTATAGTAATCGAGAGTCGTGATTGTCGTGAGAATAGATAGCAAACCTAAACGCGAAACCTGTTCACACACCGTTTCTCACGATACATTTATTAGAACACCTATCGACACGCGCTAATGGATCGTTTAAGTGTGCGGGGACGAGGAGGTAGGGTGGAGGTGGGTATTGGGGGTGGCTGTGGGAGTTGAATACGTGTACACGAGTTTACACGCACTAAAGAGATTATCGACGTTCGGCATCTCTTCGTTCTACGTGTCGTCGTAGAGTATACCACCCTCATATACCACCTCGTTGCACGTAACCCCCGTCACCCGTCTCCTTCTCCACCGACCGCCAAACAAACGACATTTTCTGCTTTCCACGATTTCGATCGTCTTTTCTTCCTAATTGCAATAATTCAATCAATTCGTTCATTTTCGTCAACGAAATCGAATCTTATTTTACTGGATTACACGTTAGATGCAATAAAAATTCTGGGACTTCAACTATATAGTTTAATATCGAAATCTATATTCGGATTATAGCGTTATATTTTATTCGCGTAGCGCATTTATTACACCTCTTTCCCGGCACCCTACGTCACCCACCGATCCGTTGTTACGCGAATCGTGCGACAGCTGGGTCTCTCTGTGTGTTTTTTTTATTCCCGTTCGAACGATAAAAACCTTTTTTTTTATTTTTATTTTTATTTTTACATGTATATATATATATACATATACAAATTGGTTCTGCGTCACGTTTTATATTCGCTTGTCTTTTAAAACAGAAAAAAATAAAAAAAAATAAAAATAAACGCAAACGAGTGGCAAAAGTAGTTTGATCTCGCGCATAAAATATTTTTCGCGTTGTAAATTTTCATTAGAATAAAACGCGTATCGCGAAAAAGTTCTTATTCTCGAAGCGTGTAGAGAAAATAACATAAAGTTCTTTTTTCTTTTATATAACGGAAAATATATGATAATTATTTAAAAATATAGAATAAGAAGATGATTTGAATTGAAATGAATTGAAGAAAAATTTAAACCACTTGTGGGAAGGGGAGTAGTAACGATTGTTGACCACTTCAGTGCTTGCCCCAAAGCCTCTTTGAGCCTCTGGGTTCAGTGAATATGCGGGTAGAAAGGGTTTGTAAGTGACTGTTACTACTTCAATCTAATTTTAACGGATTAAAGTGCAAGCAAAACTTCCCAAATTCTGATTTCGTAATACGATCGCATTTCAAATCTAATGAATCGTACTAAAGCTCGACCATTGTTCCTTTACAACACCCTCTAAGAGTATTACATATATATATATATATATATATATTAGCTCGCGCACCAATAACACCAACTTGAACGGAAAATATTTGAAGAGGAATGAAAAGGTAAAAGAAATCAAATATACAAAAAAAAAACAAGGACCTAGTGCGAAGGGGGAAGGTTCAATATAAATTCGAACCTTTCTATATACACAAACATATTAATATATCGTATATATATAATGCCGAATTTTTATTTCTAACCTAAAATGTAGGTGGTGTGTTCTAGGAATAGCAGTCAGCCAGGTACTTGAAAATATTCGATAAATATTTGAAAGGGAGATGAAAATGTAAAAGAAATCAAATTAAAAAAAAAAAACGTAGGTCGCGGTGAGTAGGGAGAAGAGTAAATATAAATTCTTACCTTTCTATATACGCAAACATACTAATATATCGTAGATATATAATTCCGAATTTTTATTTCTAACCAGAAACGTAGGTGGTATGTTCTAGGAATAGCAGTCAGCCAGCTAGTCAGGCAGGTACTTGAAAATATTACGAAAATATTTGAAAGGGGGATGAAAAGGTAAAAGAAATCAAATATAAAAAAAAAAAAAAACAAGGACCTAGTGCGAAGGGAGAAGGTTCAATATAAATTCGTACCTTTCTATACACGCAAACATATTAATATATATATATATAAATAATTCGGAATTTTTATTTGAAACCTAAAAAGTAGGTGGTGTGTTCTAGGAATAGCTGTCAGGCAACGAGTCAGCCAGTCAACCAGCCAGCCAGTCAGCCAGGTACTTGGGTTCTAAATCGTCGAGAAAGAGGAAGGAGGGGAATTTGAAGAAGTAAGAGGAGGAGTGTAAAGGTCGTTGAGGATAATCCAAAAATAGAAGGGAAAAGGTTAAAGCGGAGGCGCCAGAAGGAGCAAGTCTACGACGAAGTTGTATTATTTAGGGCATTTAGTAGCGCTCGCGGACCTTTCCAGGATTGTCCGGAACTCGTCGGGAGTCGCCATAGCAACGAGGACGTTGTCCTTCTCTCTCTCTATCACACACATAAACACACGAGAACGAGCGCGCCAGCGCACACGTTCACATTATCTCATTTCTCTCCTAGCTCGTTCATTCATTCACTCACTCGCTAGTTTCTATTCGTAGAATCGGCACTTTAGTCGACGTCTCGTTCGAGAGATACCTCGAGAATGATGATGATGATGATGATGATGATGATGATGATGATGATGATGATGATGATGATGATGATGATGATGATGATGATGATGATAAATCCCTAAATTTTAAATTTACACAACAATATTATATCAAATTTTGTGTTCCATTTCTAATTTCAAATCCCCCGGCGCACATTTCTAAATTCTTCTCCGATTAATTTATCTGATAAACATAAGGGAGAGAAATAATAACAAATAAAAATAATATAAAATTGAAGAGAAAATATATTAGGATGAATCAAAAGTTCGTACGTTTATTGTATTATAAATTGTGTTATAAACTGAATAATGGATTGTTTTTATAAA